ACTCATTTGACTACCCATGCATGAGGAATTCACAGAAAAGTAGAGCTACAACTCTAACTTAAGCCTTACCCTGTTTAGACGACGAGATAAGATGCTGTTGCTGACAGTGGTTGTGATGATATTTGACATTTCCTGATGAGAGGATAGAGTTAGAGAGATAGAAACCTTGTTGTATAACTCTTATCATCACCATGCATTTGGTTACAGCGTCAACAACGCAAGTATATCAATCATACCATTTTCATGACCACCAAAAGACTGTTGATTACCATGAGCACAGTGACTGGCTGAAGAAAACAAGAGAGGCAATGAGAAGTTCAATAAATAAAAGAGTTCCATATTATATATTCATACACATACATCTGCAAAGTCGTAAAAAAAAGTGTGTCCCATCTTACATTATACCTTTTTGCATTTGATAGTATGACATGGCTCCGGAGTAGGCCTTGTAGTACTTGCTGTAGGCTTAAAAGTTGTAGGAATTGCACTGAGTAGCTCAGTAGTAGTTTTAGGAATAGTGGTTGTTTCAGGGATTGGCTCAGTAGTTTTAGGAATAGTGCTTGTTTGAGAGATTGGCTCCGTAGCTGTAAGAATAGTTGTTGTTGTTGTTGTGGCTTTCAGAGTTGAATTCACATTCACCCAGAATGTTCCAAATGACTGAATAACTGTTGCTCTGAAACATAAAACACACACATACAGATGCTAACGACAATAATTAAGCTTTTAATGTGACCAAACCAGTCAGGCTTTTCTTTTTAAGAATAGTCACTGTGTACAAATACCTGAAAGTGATATCTGTGCTTTGCCATGTTTCCGGCGCTGTCCACTTAACTCTGAATGACCTCTTAACCTGATTGTTTGTGTGAGAGACAGCTGAGGCCTGAGGAGAAAAACAGAAGTAAATGACTCATCACTTCCTCAAGAATTGAAACTGCCGTCAAATACAGCGCTTGTGAGAAAATGTGTGTTTGTGTTGATTTTGGGGGCCCTGTAGACAGAGCAGCATGTCTTTTTGCTGATTTCGTCCTGTACATGTTGAAGTATTGTTTTACTGACAAATGATCTCATCCGGATTTCTTAAACAGTCAAATGCATCACTCATTGTGAATCTTGTGAATGCCGTGGAAAAAGGAATACAAACTCAAGCATGCTGTTAATGACTTTGTATGACACCTTACCCACAGCAGCAGTTTCAGAGATTAAAAATATCTATTAGAGTAGTTCATGGTAATGCTGATGGTCTGCTTTGCTTTGGTAGGTCATAAAGAGATATCAGTATTCATTTATTTCATAACCCCCATTTGTCTATTTACAATAAATGCAGAACGTATGAATATTCAGTTTATCTATTCATAAACTCACAAGTTTACCTTGAACAATAATGTAATGGGAGGGTTACTTACTTCTAAACCACCGCATTTCAGGAGTCGAGTAACTTTCAAATCAATTGGAATAAAATGTCCTACATGATTGCCTCCATCATCTAGAGCCGCCAACATAAATCCTAAAAACGCATTGGAGTTGTTGCCCTGGAGAGAAACTGGAGAATGGTTTGAAGAGCAACAGGGCGAAGGTGGAGGGACAGAAAATGAAGTCAGTGGTATTAATACATTTTGCAATTAGAGCATGACCACTGCACATTGATTGTGATACAAAATCCAATAGTCTCTATACCTATAAAAGTTCCATTGCCCCCTTGGTAATAAATATTAAAAGGGGGGTCGTTTCCTTAGGCTTAAAGGTCCTATGGTTAGGCACCATCGATTCACATACTGCTGGGATGGCTCCACTTGCATAACCATCAACGTTCATGATGAAGTTAAGGCCAGTTAAAATCCACAACCACATCTGTAAAAGTCAGTAAAAGATGTCAGTAATATTCAGCTGTGGCACTGTCTCATTTGAAACATTTGATCAAGTCTATGCTTCTTTGTGCTCATTGGCTATGACAGAGTAATTCAGTTGAATGTTACAGCTTTGCGTGTGTTCAGGGATTTCAACATACTAACACATAAACAGTGCAGGAGGACAACGACAAGGCTACAATCCCAGTAAAGGTCTTAACTTTATAGTGATTATTTCAATATGCAGTTTTCTGGAGAATATAGAGCCAATGAGTGCCCCTTGAAAATTCACTGAAAATATGAAATGAATTGGATGAATTTCTCATGGAAAATAGGGATCATTTCATTTAAAGACTCAGTGTCCAACAATTAAACATAAAAACAACTTAATAAGCGAAGTGATTAATGAATGTTTTCTCTTACCTTCAAATCCAGTAGCCTATAATAAGAAGTCAAATACCAGGATAAGCAACCGTGAATAAGATGCACTGTATTTTTAGAGTTGGAGTGAAAACACAGCAAACTTGGGTAATGTGGTTGCTTGTCGGTCCCCGGGAGAGGCTATATAATGGTGACGTAATCAAGCGCCCGCCCACTCTAACCTGTGTGTAGAACAAGGAAGTGCAGCGTGAGGCGAACTGATTACAAACAATTGCTGGCAGTAAGTGATCTATTGATCTTAAAACGTAATTATCCACACAGTATGAAAGCACATGCAAGAACCGTGCTAAAGTTGAATGTATTCGCTCTTGTAGATCGCGGATTACAACAAGTAGGAGGACGACTGGACTCTGCAGTGACTCATTGTTTTAACATGAGAGTCCTCATTTTGTTCTATGAATGAAATCATCTCTGTTGGGCTTTAATAATTAGTTTGTATTTCATTATCGCGCTTAATCAAAAACGGGAGTAAACTTGCAGATTATTATTGTGCAAAATGAATGTATCAAATTATGTGACACTGTGTAATTATTTTCTTATATATGTTTTTTAGTATGGCTCATCACAACATTAAAAGCACACTGCTGGTCCGGGTGCTAAGTTGATGAATTAAAGGTATGCTATTTTGGGTTGACACTTTTTTAAGAAATGTAATTAATATGTTTTTGATATTGATTTAAAGTCTTGTTTATTTCTCTAGGACTTGGAATTAACTAAAAACTGTCACTGTTTTTCCCCACTTTCATATTTACTTAATTGTTTATTTTTAGAAGTAGTTTCAAATTAGATACTTTGACGGGCCGCGGGCAATAGACTTTGTGGGCGAAGTGCAATTCATGAATTCATAGTAACTCTGAAAGCCTTGATCCCTTTTGCTGTCTTTATTAATTTGTAGTGTTATGCATGAATTATTTGCTGCGTGAGCAGGTGAAGTTAGTGATTTTTAGGGAGTGTTGTTAAATGTGTAAGTTGGATCTTGAGTGTGATTAGGAGCAGTGATTTTTTGATAGTTGTGTATATAGATTGTATATTGCAAAGGTTTATTTTTTACATCTGAAGTAACCACTGGAATGTTCCGTTTTAGTTCACAAACTTCCAGGTTGACACAAAGTGAGTTGAATTTGAAACATACATTTGTAGATGTTCTGACTAAATGTTAGTCAGTGAGTCACACAATGTGCCTTAATCATTATTGTCAAGCAGAGTGGAGGTAGAAAAAAAAAAAAAAAAAAAAGCACCAAATCACTCATGAATGATTTGACATCGTGTCCCGGCAAAATGGGCACCCTAAGGTTCCATGCTAATTTAGACTATTGAAGAACAGGTAAGTGTTTTTATGATTCTACCGTTCCTCTTATGTCTTGAATCTGAATGTCATCTTCAAATGTCTGCAAATGAACTTTGTTTTGCTCACGTATATTTGCGTGTACATTTTCAATAAAGATGTTTTTGATAACTAAAGGAGTTGATTGTGTAACCCATGGCTGTGATTTACTCTCAATGTGTACTTTTCTTTATAGAGAGAAACATTTTCACCACCTTTTAATGATATAAACTTAAACTTATAAAGCAGGAAGTGTAACTCTAAAACACAGCAGGAAGTTAATGATTTATAAAGCGGTTAGAGATAGCAGAGAGATTTCACTCTGAAGTCAATAAGTATCAGGAAGCAGAATATGGTGATTGTTACAGTCCATGTACCTTGTCTTCATATTTGATCTAAGCGCATTTGGAACTGAAGTATGTCAAAATGTTTCTTGTGCCTTTTCTGACATGCTGCATCAAATGGAAAATTAATGTTTATCTGCTGCAACATTTGAAGTTTTGTTTTACAAAACAAGGAAGTTGCAGCAAGCTAGCTAGGTGGGTCAAAGTTATGCCTCTGTATCTCGGAATTGATTTTATTATTGAGTGAGTCAGCATCTTAACGGTGACATACTTAACAACACTCCCTTCTTAAGAATCATAAAAAGCAAGAATCATTGTCATGCAGTAAACACAACACTGTAGCTTTATAACCAACGTATTTATAAAGCTTCAGCACACATTCACATAGTCAACGAATGTGATGTAGACATTAATACAATCAGGAGCAAACATTTACATAAGTGTATTGTGAATGGACATTTCTCCGTCAGCAAAAAAACACCTTGTAAACAAAATAAAAAACTGTTCACTGTGAAGATTTTCCATTCGAAGCCCTAACGTAAAAAGGTTATTCAGTATATGGTCAGATTTGAGAGACACAACAATCCAAACATGTTTGATCAGTGATAGTTACAGAACAGTCATTTAAACAGGTCAAAGTTGTATAAAGAGGAGTATTTAACATGGAGGCTCACTGCAGTTCTAATGTATTACAGAAATAGACAGTTGCTGTTAAATTGCCCGTTTTATGTTTACAACTAGAAGCTCATACTTGAGATAAGTAGACTGACACAGACTTTATGACTTTAGAATCTGCTGATCTACTTACCTCTGGCCTTAAACACAAGATGTTATTTTTTGTCGAGTGCTTCATTTTTGGCATCCATTTTTTTCTATATTCATGTTGATGAATGCGGTACTACAGCTATAATATGTTTAACAAGACTAGTTCTTAACAAGAGAAGCACATTCCTCAAAGCTACTCCCTAAAGAACATTTCCTCATGTTGGTGCCTGGTGGGTGCAAGGAGATATGGCGCTTGACCAAATGTGACCTCAACAGATATTTACAGTTCTTTCTCTATGAAAGGTTCAGTTCTGATTGAATGTGATCCAACCAACCTGAACAAACTCCTTAATAGAACATCACTTTTAAAGCTGAAGCAATAACTAGGTCGTTTAAATGAGCAATTACTCTGTACTGTTTTTTACATGTCTTAATAACATTCATAAAAAAACACTCAAAAATTAAACGCAACAGTAAAAAAATACAATATATTGATTTGAAAGTGCAGATGTTAAGATACCATTTTTCCCTTTCTATAAACAACAACATAACTAGGCTAAAGTGTCTGCTGATACTGTCTGATACCAGTGTGGGAAAAAACACAAATTTTGTACTTTGAATAATATTTCAATCTCTGCTTGCAATTGCCTTGTTGTGGTTTGCCATTGTCACATAATAATTACAAGTGGATATTTTTTAGGGGTGCTTAAAATTGTGGTATCAGATTGGTGCATTGACTGGTATTCTTGTATATACCAAATACTGCATTTAAAGCATATTTGGAGGCAAATAACGATACTGGTAATGATGTCAAACCACCTCAATTCAAAAAGCAATTGGAATTAACATACAAACCAGCTTATCTCAACATAAATGCTTACTTTCCAGTGTGCCATAACATCCAGACAATGCTAGCTATAGCCAAAGCACTGGCTATAACGATGAAGATACCTGAGGCTGCAGTTACAAACACTTTATGGAGCGTCTTCTGAAATGCAGAGGTGTTTTGATGAATAACAGACAAACTTGCAGTTGCATTGTATTATCTTGTCTATAATTGTAGTTGTCATGACGTTATCTAAACATACTATGTTGTCATTATTTGGACAATTCTCACCTTTTTCTTTTGTTGCCTGTGTTGTGTTGTGTTTTTTAAACTCCCTGTGAGACAAAAAGTGCTTAAGATGACATACTAGATCTAATGCATGAACTCAATTTCAGACAGAACTGTGCAATAACTCATTTACCTCTCTTTCTGCCCTGCAGAATGACACTTCTCCAAGTGGTGAATACCAAAACCCAAATGAGAGACAGGAAAATCCATACTGTGTAAGTGTACAGCAATTCCTCGATCTCCGAATAACCGTCATAGATAAAAGCAACTGTGTAATAAGAAATGTTTAAACAGATCAACAAACAGCTAATGTGTCCACTGACAATCTGTCTGGTAAGTGTGCAGCTTCAGACAGATACTGGTTAGCTTAGCATTAGTGTCAAGACTGTAAAAACAACAACAACAACAAATAACAGAAATCAACCAGCCTGGCTCAGTCTGATGTTTTGTGCAATAGCACTTATGAAGTCTACTTACAAACATGTTATAGCTTATCCTTTTAAATAAAGGTGTACAAAATTATATGTTACAGAGTATTTCTTAGTATTAGGATGAACCAAACAATACAAACTGTGGTTTGGCCATTAATCTTTCAAAGAATAAGACCAGGTATTTTCTGTCAAAATGCATAAATATTGCTCTGAAAACCTTTAAGAAGTCACAGACGGTTATAAATGAAATAACATTTACCACTGTAGGGATGTTAATCAAGTTATTCTCCTTACTTGTAAAAATCTGGAGGATGACAGAACACACTAAGGCAGCAGGGATACTCATCTCCTTTCTTGAAAGGAACAAAAGAAAAAGAAAAAACAGGATTGCAAAAGTGTTGATGTGTGATGAGATGTTAAGGTTAAATGATTCCTAAGTTAAACTTACAGCTCATGACTCGGTCCGATTGGCAGAGTGGTGAGTACTATCAGCAAGACATTCATGATGATCACCACGGACAACAGGGCAACAAGATTGACCTAAACACACACACACACCCAAGGTTGAAAAAATAATGAATAACCCAAGAACTATCCAAGTTTTATTTCCAAGAAATAACTAAATGTTGTCCTGTAGTTATTATTACTTACGTGTAAGGACTCGCACACAATTAACAAGACCATTGAGGATATTTCCACCGCCTCACAAAGCATACAGAAAATGATATTCGACATCTACAATAAGAGAAAAAGAAAATTCAGTTATCTTTAAAAACCTGAATAGATTGTATTTATCTTTTGGCAGATTTTTAAATAAAAAGTCACTTAAACCGAGGATGCTAGCTGAGGCTACACATACCATTTCTATCTTTTGTGGATTGTATGCTGGTCCCTAAAAAAGGTTATATGCTTATGCACTTGTGATAAATGAAAAAATATAACAAAAGGTGCAACAAAAATGACCGCCACTCACTAGGTCAAATCTACTGTAAACACAATGTCACCTAACCAATTTAAAAATAACCCTTTTTTTAGGAACTATTTAATCTTGTTTTATTATCTGCAAAATCAAAATGGTCTCACTTCTGAAATGATCTCAATAAACAGAAGCTTACTTTTTAGTCACACAATATGCCAGTTAAGAACCAGACTCATTTGACTACCCATGCATGAGGAATTCACAGAAAAGTAGAGCTACAACTCTAACTTAAGCCTTACCCTGTTTAGACGACGAGATAAGATGCTGTTGCTGACAGTGGTTGTGATGATATTTGACATTTCCTGATGAGAGGATAGAGTTAGAGAGATAGAAACCTTGTTGTATAACTCTTATCATCACCATGCATTTGGTTACAGCGTCAACAACGCAAGTATATCAATCATACCATTTTCATGACCACCAAAAGACTGTTGATTACCATGAGCACAGTGACTGGCTGAAGAGAAACAAGAGAGGCAATGAGAAGTTCAATAAATAAAAGAGTTCCATATTATATATTCATACACATACATCTGCAAAGTCGTAAAAAAAAGTGTGTCCCATCTTACATTATACCTTTTTGCATTTGATAGTATGACATGGCTCCGGAGTAGGCCTTGTAGTACTTGCTGTAGGCTTAAAAGTTGTAGGAATTGCACTGAGTAGCTCAGTAGTAGTTTTAGGAATAGTGGTTGTTTCAGGGATTGGCTCAGTAGTTTTAGGAATAGTGCTTGTTTGAGAGATTGGCTCCGTAGCTGTAAGAATAGTTGTTGTTGTTGTTGTGGCTTTCAGAGTTGAATTCACATTCACCCAGAATGTTCCAAATGACTGAATAACTGTTGCTCTGAAACATAAAACACACACATACAGATGCTAACGACAATAATTAAGCTTTTAATGTGACCAAACCAGTCAGGCTTTTCTTTTTAAGAATAGTCACTGTGTACAAATACCTGAAAGTGATATCTGTGCTTTGCCATGTTTCCGGCGCTGTCCACTTAACTCTGAATGACCTCTTAACCTGATTGTTTGTGTGAGAGACAGCTGAGGCCTGAGGAGAAAAACAGAAGTAAATGACTCATCACTTCCTCAAGAATTGAAACTGCCGTCAAATACAGCGCTTGTGAGAAAATGTGTGTTTGTGTTGATTTTGGGGGCCCCTGTAGACAGAGCAGCATGTCTTTTTGCTGATTTCGTCCTGTACATGTTGAAGTATTGTTTTACTGACAAATGATCTCATCCGGATTTCTTAAACAGTCAAATGCATCACTCATTGTGAATCTTGTGAATGCCGTGGAAAAAGGAATACAAACTCAAGCATGCTGTTAATGACTTTGTATGACACCTTACCCACAGCAGCAGTTTCAGAGATTAAAAATATCTATTAGAGTAGTTCATGGTAATGCTGATGGTCTGCTTTGCTTTGGTAGGTCATAAAGAGATATCAGTATTCATTTATTTCATAACCCCCATTTGTCTATTTACAATAAATGCAGAACGTATGAATATTCAGTTTATCTATTCATAAACTCACAAGTTTACCTTGAACAATAATGTAATGGGAGGGTTACTTACTTCTAAACCACCGCATTTCAGGAGTCGAGTAACTTTCAAATCAATTGGAATAAAATGTCCTACATGATTGCCTCCATCATCTAGAGCCGCCAACATAAATCCTAAAAACGCATTGGAGTTGTTGCCCTGGAGAGAAACTGGAGAATGGTTTGAAGAGCAACAGGGCGAAGGTGGAGGGACAGAAAATGAAGTCAGTGGTATTAATACATTTTGCAATTAGAGCATGACCACTGCACATTGATTGTGATACAAAATCCAATAGTCTCTATACCTATAAAAGTTCCATTGCCCCCTTGGTAATAAATATTAAAAGGGGGGGTCGTTTCCTTAGGCTTAAAGGTCCTATGGTTAGGCACCATCGATTCACATACTGCTGGGATGGCTCCACTTGCATAACCATCAACGTTCATGATGAAGTTAAGGCCAGTTAAAATCCACAACCACATCTGTAAAAGTCAGTAAAAGATGTCAGTAATATTCAGCTGTGGCACTGTCTCATTTGAAACATTTGATCAAGTCTATGCTTCTTTGTGCTCATTGGCTATGACAGAGTAATTCAGTTGAATGTTACAGCTTTGCGTGTGTTCAGGGATTTCAACATACTAACACATAAACAGTGCAGGAGGACAACGACAAGGCTACAATCCCAGTAAAGGTCTTAACTTTATAGTGATTATTTCAATATGCAGTTTTCTGGAGAATATAGAGCCAATGAGTGCCCCTTGAAAATTCACTGAAAATATGAAATGAATTGGATGAATTTCTCATGGAAAATAGGGATCATTTCATTTAAAGACTCAGTGTCCAACAATTAAACATAAAAACAACTTAATAAGCGAAGTGATTAATGAATGTTTTCTCTTACCTTCGAATCCAGTAGCCTATAATAAGAAGTCAAATACCAGGATAAGCAACCGTGAATAAGATGCACTGTATTTTTAGAGTTGGAGTGAAAACACAGCAAACTTGGGTAATGTGGTTGCTTGTCGGTCCCCGGGAGAGGCTATATAATGGTGACGTAATCAAGCGCCCGCCCTCTCTAACCTGTGTGTAGAACAAGGAAGTGCAGCGTGAGGCGAACTGATTACAAACAATTGCTGGCAGTAAGTGATCTATTGAGCTTAAAACGTAATTATCCACACAGTATGAAAGCACATGCAAGAACCGTGCTAAAGTTGAATGTATTCGCTCTTGTAGATCGCGGATTACAACAAGTAGGAGGACGACTGGACTCTGCAGTGACTCATTGTTTTAACATGAGAGTCCTCATTTTGTTCTATGAATGAAATCATCTCTGTTGGGCTTTAATAATTAGTTTGTATTTCATTATCGCGCTTAATCAAAAACGGGAGTAAACTTGCAGATTATTATTGTGCAAAATGAATGTATCAAATTATGTGACACTGTGTAATTATTTTCTTATATATGTTTTTTAGTATGGCTCATCACAACATTAAAAGCACACTGCTGGTCCGGGTGCTAAGTTGATGAATTAAAGGTATGCTATTTTGGGTTGACACTTTTTTAAGAAATGTAATTAATATGTTTTTGATATTGATTTAAAGTCTTGTTTATTTCTCTAGGACTTGGAATTAACTAAAAACTGTCACTGTTTTTCCCCACTTTCATATTTACTTAATTGTTTATTTTTAGAAGTAGTTTCAAATTAGATACTTTGACGGGCCGCGGGCAATAGACTTTGTGGGCGAAGTGCAATTCATGAATTCATAGTAACTCTGAAAGCCTTGATCCCTTTTGCTGTCTTTATTAATTTGTAGTGTTATGCATGAATTATTTGCTGCGTGAGCAGGTGAAGTTAGTGATTTTTAGGGAGTGTTGTTAAATGTGTAAGTTGGATCTTGAGTGTGATTAGGAGCAGTGATTTTTGATAGTTTGTATATAGATTGTATATTGCAAAGGTTTATTTTTTACATCTGAAGTAACCACTGGAATGTTCCGTTTTAGTTCACAAACTTCCAGGTTGACACAAAGTGAGTTGAATTTGAAACATACATTTGTAGATGTTCTGACTAAATGTTAGTCAGTGAGTCACACAATGTGCCTTAATCATTATTGTCAAGCAGAGTGGAGGTAGAATTAAAAAAAAAAAAAAAAAAAGCACCAAATCACTCATGAATGATTTGACATCGTGTCCCGGCAAAATGGGCACCCTAAGGTTCCATGCTAATTTAGACTATTGAAGAACAGGTAAGTGTTTTTATGATTCTACCGTTCCTCTTATGTCTTGAATCTGAATGTCATCTTCAATGTCTGCAAATGAACTTTGTTTTGCTCACGTATATTTGCGTGTACATTTTCAATAAAGATGTTTTTGATAACTAAAGGAGTTGATTGTGTAACCCATGGCTGTGATTTACTCTCAATGTGTACTTTTCTTATAGAGAGAAACATTTTCACCACCTTTTAATGATATAAACTTAAACTTATAAAGCAGGAAGTGTAACTCTAAAACACAGCAGGAAGTTAATGATTTATAAAGCGGTTAGAGATAGCAGAGAGATTTCACTCTGAAGTCAATAAGTATCAGGAAGCAGAATATGGTGATTGTTACAGTCCATGTACCTTGTCTTCATATTTGATCTAACGCATTTGGAACTGAAGTATGTCAAAATGTTTCTTGTGCCTTTTCTGACATGCTGCATCAAATGGAAAATTAATGTTTATCTGCTGCAACATTTGAAGTTTTGTTTTACAAAACAAGGAAGTTGCAGCAAGCTAGCTAGGTGGGTCAAGTTATGCCTCTGTATCTCGGAATTGATTTTATTATTGAGTGAGTCAGCATCTTAACGGTGACATACTTAACAACACTCCCTTCTTAAGAATCATAAAAAGCAAGAATCATTGTCATGCAGTAAACACAACACTGTAGCTTTATAACCAACGTATTTATAAAGCTTCAGCACACATTCACATAGTCAACGAATGTGATGTAGACATTAATACAATCAGGAGCAAACATTTACATAAGTGTATTGTGAATGGACATTTCTCCGTCAGCAAAAACACCTTGTAAACAAAATAAAAAACTGTTCACTGTGAAGATTTTCCATTCGAAGCCCTAACGTAAAAAGGTTATTCAGTATATGGTCAGATTTGAGAGACACAACAATCCAAACATGTTTGATCAGTGATAGTTACAGAACAGTCATTTAAACAGGTCAAAGTTGTATAAAGAGGAGTATTTAACATGGAGGCTCACTGCAGTTCTAATGTATTACAGAAATAGACAGTTGCTGTTAAATTGCCCGTTTTATGTTTACAACTAGAAGCTCATACTTGAGATAAGTAGACTGACACAGACTTTATGACTTTAGAATCTGCTGATCTACTTACCTCTGGCCTTAAACACAAGATGTTATTTTTGTCGAGTGCT